GTGAAGTCACAGTTCGACATTAGCTGTGCTCACTGGCAGGGCCTGCACAGCTTTTTCTGTCAAAGTGTTTCTTCATTGTAGTTCACTGGACCTTCACAACCACCTTGAGGGTGTACCCTGGTCTGCTTTTTGTCGTGCTGAGGCATTGGAAAACAAAGAGGGCAGAGGGGCTAGCCTAGGGGCCACAGAAAAGAGAAACTGGGTCAGGACTGGACCCTGAGACCAGGTCTGAGCCTGCTCAGTTCCCTCTCCCTGCAGGTCCTACCTGTGACTTAGGACAGGCTCACACCCCCACTCTGGCAGGACACAGGTCTGAGAAGCTGAGGAGAAGGACGCCAGCAAGGGACTCTGCAACCAAATCTGGACTATGGGGAGTGGGGACAACAGTGTACCAAAAGGTGGAGGAGTGAGCTGGCTCTCTAGGACACTGGCCTGCCTGTGAGACTCAGCAAGCTCGTGGGAAGAATACTGGGCAGTGCTTGGGCCCTGCGTGGCCTGCTGCCTACTGCAGCAGCCTCCAGTGCCCTTTCTCCGGTCCCACCTAAGCAGCCAGAGGTTCAGCTCCATCCAACCCTGAGCAATTATGCTGTCTTATGACACTTTGGTAGGGTTGTGGGTTCAACTGCTCTTTTTAGCTGTGTGTTCCAAGACTGGCCCCTTAAGTCCTTTGAGTCTTTGTTCTTCCAAACGTCTTCTTTAGGTTCTGCTCAGGATGGTCCTAGAACTCTGTGTGTGTGTGTGTGTGTGTGTGTGTGTGTGTGTGTGTTGCTACTGTGAGCTTTTAAAATGTGTGAGTGCTGCATATCTACACTTGGCTACCCCCACTACCCTGCCCAGAGCAGGTGCTCACCAGCCTTCCTAGTGTATTATTGAATTAAGGGTGGGTGTCCTAGTCACGCTGCTCCCGGAGAGCAGAGTATTGTGAATGCTGGCCTGAGGGAAGCAGCATGAGGAACTTTGTGTACAAGAGTGTGTCTTGCTGTAACCATGTGGGCAGGCTAGTGTTGCCCCTGATTTCAGGTGAGGAAACCAAGGCATAGAGGGTAGTGGAGCTGACGTGAACCCAGAAAGTCTGATTTCATCTCTGCCACCAAACAAGAGATCCCTGGGATACTGGGGAGCACCTTTGGAGGGGTAAGCATGTGTGGACTTAAAAGAGGGAGCGCCTGTTGGAAGCTAATTTAAATGAGAATGTTCTGGGTGGTTTTTCTGATTATGGAAATCTTCCATCTGGTCCCTCGTGGTTTGTCTGGATCCAGGGTGGAGCGAGAACTTTTTTGATTTTTGCTTTACCTGTTTGGGTGCCATTTGGCTTCTTATGTTTGGATTAGCATGTGTATAAGTTACT